AGGACAAGTTGGATATATTCTGTGCAGTCGACTGCGTCAAATAGAACCTGTGCAATATTTTAAACTGAATCAGTCTATCTCTAGTAGAGACAAATTGGGAGAATGGGTTCTCCCAAATGTCTTCCCAGTCCTCATCATCCAGCTCTGGCAGCTGCGCCAGCCAGGAAGATCGCAGTTTCTCCAAGCCTTGATGCACAGTAGGCTGCAAGGCTTTGTATATATTTGAAAGGGGTTTTGTAGGCGACTCATCCCATAGGAGTGATTCCATGTCAAAGGACCGTAAGGTCAGTGGAGTAATCCTGAATTGTGTGAAAAAGGCATGATGGAGCCCGAACAAATCTTCTGGCAGTTGTGGCTGCAATTTCTTGATCTACCTGACCTTGGCTTGGTGTCAAGAGTTCCCCAAATTTTTCACTTCTTATTAAGTGATTGAACTGTACTGACTGGCATATTCAAGGTTTTGGATATCTCTTTATATCCTTTTTCATCTTTATAAAGTTCTGTTACGCAGGTCTTTTGATAGTTCTTTTCTGCTCCCCATGGGTCAGTATCTAGCCTGCTCCAGGGTATGTAATTTTTTGATCAGGGCATTTGAGTGATTTTTGTTATAATTATGATTTAAAAAGGATCCAAGCTATGTGATAATACCCTTAAATAAAAGACAGTTTTTTTGGCATGATCAATCATCTTTTCAATATCAATGCCAAAATTTCTGCCAAGGTATGCAAACTTTTGAGCATAACTGTATGTACCCCCAGATATAGAGTATCTGTCCAATGCAGTGGGAGGGTTGGAACTGGCACGCTGGATGTCCCAGAATCCACCTGAAGGATCATGGATTTATCACAGTTCACTCTCATCTCAGATAAGCCAGCAAAAGTAGAAAGGAACTGTGACGCCTGGAGCAAAGGACCCGGGTCCCTGAGCAAAAAAAAATATCATCGGTGTACAAAGCTAGTTTTTCTTTAATAGATCCAATCCAGATACCCCACACCTCTCTCTCTCGAGATGGATAGTTATTGTTATAGGTTCTACTATAAGGACACTTAAATCGGGTGATGGGGCAGCCCCGTTCAATGGGAAAGGGAGGGGAAAGTTCCTCACCAAGCTTTTTCTCGGTTACCAGGGCCAGGTACAAAATGCTAATCCATTTGCGGAAAATGGGGCTAAAACCAAATGCCTCGAGGACCACTGTCATATAGACCCAATCAACTAAATTTAAAGCTTTTTTAATATCTAATGCCACAAAGACCCTAGTTCCCTGGTCTCCAGAGGGCTATTGTAGCTGGGTGAATACCCTGTAGAGATTGATATCAGTAGATTTGCCAGCCATAAAGCCCATTTGATCTATATTTATCAAAGAAGGGAGGACCTTCATCAATCTGGTAGCGAGAATTTTCATGGGGATTTTTAAATCATAGTTAAAAAGAGAAATGGGTTGTTATGCAGACCAATAGGTACTATCCGTCCTGGGTTTCGGGATCGATACAATGTGCAGGGCCATTTTTAAGGAGGGGCAAAAGGGGCAGCTGCCCTGGGCCTAGTCATTGCTGCGGAGCCCAAAGCAGCTGCCCCATACTTGCCAACTGTCCCAGTTTACATTCCCTTGTCCCTTGAAATCTTCATCCCAAGCTGTGTCCCAATATCTCAGCATGAAGTGCTGTCACTTATGCTGACCAGCTCTGACCTAATGCCATGAGTCACATGCAGACCTTCTCAGCATTCACATGTACAGTAAATAATGAACATTCATATGTAAATAGAGGGAGTCAGCAGCATTGATATGTAAATAGTGGGGGGCATTCATATGTAAATATCTGCAGTATTCATTTGTATATCCTGTCCCCCTGAGGTTCTAGCCACCATCACATCTGCTGAATGCTGCCCACTGGGGTGGTAAACAGGGGCAATGCTTGATAGTCCTGCCTGCAATTGTGGTCACTGAGCCCTACCATCAGCCTGTTCTACATCAATTCCGCTCACTGAGGTACTAGACGTTCTTGCACATCGTTACTGCTCACTGATTGGTTGCTATAGGTTACTGCACATCATTATTGCTCACTGATTGGTTGCTAGATATTACAGCAGATCACTACTGTTCATTGATTGGTTGCTAGAGGTTACTGCACATCATTACCGCTCACGGTGGGTAGAGGATACTGCACATTATTACTGCTCACTGATTGGTTGCTATTGGTTATTGTGCATCATTACCGCTTATTGATTGCTATAGGTTACAGCACCTCTTGCAGCTAATCAGTGAGCCATAATGTGTACTGTAACCTCTACCAACCAGTCAATGAGCCGTAATGATATGCTGTAATCTCCAGCAGCCAATCGCAATCACTACCTGATGTGTTTCAGAGCAGGTGAAGAGTGAAATTGCATGGGGGGGGGGGCAAATAAAATGTTTGCCCAGGGTCCAATCAATATTAAAGACGGCACTCACAGTGTGAGCACAAGACATGAAGGTAGGTAGTGAGGATGCTAGGTCGATCCTGGATCCTGAGCAGTGTGTGGCAGAAAGATGTGAATATTCTTTATCGTGTGGGTGTTTTTATCTCCAAATATCAGTTAGATCAAGAGTTGTGGCCAAGTGGGACAAATCAGGATCCAGGAGCCTGTTAGGGTTGGAGGAATCCAAGTATTGAAATCCCCATCTATGAACATTTCACTCTCTCCCCAAGATTCTCTCCATCTCTGGCAAGTTCTCCCATTCGCGTAGTCCCATCACGCCATTCCTTATTTAGGTATCAAGTTGACAGCGTCTCTGTCTGATTTATACTCAGCTAACTACCTCCCAATGCTTGCACACCTCACTAGTTTAATGCACAACTGGTCCTCTCTCCCGTTAGCTTTACTAGGTAGGATGACGGTGATTAAAATGTGTATCCTACCCAAGATTCTTTATCTCTTCCGAGTTCTTCCCATACCTGTCCCGGCACACTTTCTCCGCACACTTCAGCACCGAGCTCACGCTTACATTTGGGGCTCAATTCGACCCCAAGTCCCCTGCTCCACTATCCATCTACCAAAATTGAAAGGAGGTTTAGGACACCCGAAGTTCATAAAATATTACGAAGCGGCTCACCTAGCCCAATTGCCAAAGTATCATGCATCATATGAAATCCCTCAATGGGTAATTTTGGAGTCAATTAATATGGATCCCCTCTCATTAGCTAACCTACTTTGGCTTCACCCTTCCGATCGTCAGGGGATCCGGAACCCAATAACCTCCCATTTTATGGCACTCTGGGACAAACTCAAATACAAATATTCCCTCCAATCACCACACAATCCTCTCCTATCTTATCTTTGCAACCCGGATTTCCCCCCAGCTTGGTCCACACCTCGCTCCTTCCATCACTGGTCTTCTGCTAATCTCTTAAGAGCACATCATTTTTTTACTAATTCCGGGTTTCGCTCCTTCCCATCCCTCCGTGAATCACACTCTCTCCCTGCATCAGAAATTTTCCACTACCTACAATTGAAGCATTTCTATTCCCCTCTCTCCACTACCGCATGCTCCGTTAGATCAATGACCCCCTTTGAAAGTGCATGTAACAAAGATCCACATAGGCGTGGCCTTATCTCTATTCTTTATGCTCAACTCTCAACCCCCATGCCTTCCTTTCGTCCCGCACATGTCACCAGGTGGGGAGAGGGACTTAGCCCCGCAGCTGAGCTCTGAAGACTGGGATCATATTTGGCAGGCAACTAAATCCTCTTCGCAAACTGTTGTGGCAGTTGAGAATACAATACAAAATACCTTGGCCTTCAAAAAAAATCTTTCTATGTCGTTAAAATTATCTTGACGACATTGCAACCCCCTAATTGCTGCACATGATAACCTGCCAACATCAAGGGAGCACAGCAAAAAAAGAACTAAGCACAGAAAAATCAAATAACATGTAAAGCATATAACATGTCATAAGGATCATGGATGATTCATTGTAGCATAGCTGTAGTCATGTAAGCATGTATTATAAAAAAAGAGCTGAGACAAGGGAAATTTCTTCACAACAGATGTGACACAAGTTTATATGAAGTCTACATGCAGAATATGGAGCACATGTACTGAAGCATATGCTAGAGCTGCAGAGCTCAAAGTAGTATCCATTTAAACATATAGTCACTTATGACTTATCACTCGACATTACTGCAACTCCCTCCTCACTGGCCTGCCTCGCCACAGGCTATCCCCTCTTCAGTCGATCCTGAATACGGCAGCCAGACTCATCCACCTTACCAACCGCTCCGTTTCCGCCACCCCCCTCTGCCAATCCCTCCACTGGCTTCCAATTGCCCAACGGATCAAATTCAAAACCCTAACACTGACATACAAAGGTGTCCATCATACTGCTCCAAACTACATCACCAACCTAATATCCAAATACCACCCAAAATGCACTCTCCGCTCCTCACAAGACCACCTTCTCTCTAGTTCCCTAGTCTCCTCCTCCCATGCCTGCCTCCAGGACTTCTCCAGGGCGTCCCCCATCCTCTGGAACTCCCTACCCCAATCCATCAGACTATCACCTACTCTCCTCTCCTTTAGGCGCACTCTGAAAACCCACCTCTTCAGGGAAGCCTACCCCACCCCCTGCTAATTGCCAACCTCTTCCACTCTTCCTACCACTCCATCCCCCGCAGCTTTTCCTCCTGTACCACTATCCCCTCCCTCCTAGACTGAAAGCTCCAAGGAGCAGGGCCCTCGAACCCCTCGTGTATCACATTGTATTGTTATTGTACTGTCGCATGTATTGTCTCCTATTGTAATGTACAGCGCTGAGCAAACTGTTGGCGCTTTATAAATACTGTATAATAATAATAATAATGACAGCCTGCACTGTAGAACGATTAGCATAAAAAAACACCTCCAGCCATTATAGCTTAACCACCCTAGCGGTATTCCCGAGTGTAGCTCGGGGTAAAGTTTCAGTACCAAAAGGGGTAACCCCGAGCTACACTCTGGCTTACCATGTGGCGTTGCTCGGGGTTTCCCTGCAGCGCTTACCTTGTCCCCTGCCGTGTCCCCGGCCATCTCCTCCGTGTTCCGGTCCCTGCGAGCATATGGGGGGGGGTGCGTTTGGGGGCCGGAACCAGCGGCAAATTTTAAAAATTTTTAGAAACTGTCATTTTCTAATAAATGAATTTGACATAGTAAAACATTACTGTATCAAACCATTTCACATATATTTTGTCCCTAGTGCTTTGTCCTGTGCCCTGCCTGCATTTTGACTGTTCTTTCTGCCTGGAAACTTAGAAAAGTCAATGGCGTCCAAAAAGCAAACCTTTAGGTCAAAAGCGGTTTTAGACCAGCTAGAGAACAGCGGTAGTAAATCAGAACCACTTGCAGAATTGAGTGATAATGATTTGTGGGGGAAATTCGTCATCAGACACTGAAAACGATTTTGCGACTTTGCTCAGCGATGTGCGAACTTGGCGCTATATTTCAAATTTCAGTGTTTTTTGGTTTGATTACATTATTGAATTAAATTTATTATTATATTATTATTTTTATGATTATTTATTAAATTATAATTTATGATTTTGTGTTTTAAGTTTTATCCTACCCGGAATGTTTACTAGACTCTTGTTCAGACAGATTTCAGTGAATTATTCCTAAAAATTACAGGCCTACAATAAAAAAAAAATACATATTTCCATGCAAAAACATGTACCGCTTTCAGCACAGAAATATGGACATAATCAGACCGCTAGGGAGGTTAAAGTGAGTACTTTAATTAGCTTCAAAGTATGCCCTTCACAGTATCAGTCATTTAATGAGTAAGGCTCCTTTTATAAAGCAGACTTCCTTCAAAGCACCTATATATTGTAAATAAGCTTTTGATTCTGAGCATGAAACCTGCTAGCACAGAGATCACCCCCCAAAGCACAGGCAAATAAGCAGAAAGCTAGAAGTGAAGATTGTTAGGCACTGTAGTATGTGCCAGCCATGAATGAATTAATTTCCTGCTGAGACAGCAGTATCATGATGCTATGCCGTACTGTCAAGTGGTTGACCGTTACTACGGGGGGAACTCACAGTTACAGGAATCTCCCTCTTATAACTTATGTGTGTGTCCATCCAGATATCTGTGTCTTGGATAAAAAAAAAAAAAAAGGAATCAGGCTTTTGATCTTTATGCGACTGTGGGTTAAGATGAATAAATCAGGCTCTTACAAAACAATGAAAATGCAGATTAATAATGAATGAGGACAGGGGACACCAAGTAGCCTTTTTTAACTTGCCTGGAGTTTTAGGGATAACAGTACACTGGAACTGCCTTTAGACATTAACTCTACAGGCAACAGAAAAATGCTAAACCTTGTAAACGTGGTACCGCATTTAGCGCTTGAACATTTATTAATTTCATTGGCCGGAGCTCTTGTGCGCATTTACATGCAGTTTTCCATTTTTGGCAAAAGCGTTCCTGAACTGAACGTGATTCTTCTGCGTTCGGCCTCGGGTACACTGCTGCTCCTAATTGTGAGTTTAGAAGCGTTTGGTGTTTTTTTTTTGCCATGCCCTTGAACTCAACTCAATAAAAGCCTATGTGTCCATGCACAAGTAGGTTTTTACCAGAGTTTAGGAGCAGCGGAATTTACAGGCAGTTCAACGTCCCTCTCTTGAACACAGAAGAATCACATTCAGGAGAGAAACGTTTTTTGGCCCAAAAATGCCAAACGCTGCAAAAACATGTGTAAATGCACCATGTTTAGAGCTTTGGCGTTTATTAATTTCAATGACAAGTACTCTGGCCAATGAAATGGAAAAACAATCACGCACTAAACTTGGGTAAACACGTGGTTCTGGTTTTCTGCTGCCAGTAGCGTTCATTCCAGTGTGCATGTAACCTTCAGGAGAGCAATGTTTAACTGCCCCCAAACCCTGCTGCTGCTAAACTCTTGATAAAAGCATATGTGTGCATGGACACATAGGCTTTTGTTGAGTTGCATTCAGGGGCTTTGGCAAAAAAGCCTAAATATACGTTTAGGAGCAGCAATAACAGTGTGTCTTTCCCCTGCAGTACAAAACAAATGAGATTGGGGATTGTTCCCCACTGGCACATAACGATAAGGGAGAGCAGTCCATTCCTTGCATCTATTTTCAGTGTGGATCTCTTTCTCTCGTTCTCCACATTGTGTTATGGAGGAGATCAATGCCAGCTCCTTCTAAGTAGGAATATAGCTGCATGTGAGGATTCTTGTTTAATATTGGCATTAGTCTATTAATCAAAAGAGTTTGTATTGGTTTTCTATTTGAATGTATTCATTATGTGTTTTATTGTTGCAGGTTGATGATTTTCTGCAAGCTTTAATAAACTACGACAAGGAACATATCCATGAGAATTGCCTTAAAGTGGCGAAGGAACAGTACCTGAATAATCCCATTTTCAATCCTGACTTAGTTCGTACAAAGTCAGTTGCTGCAGCTGGTCTCTGTGCCTGGGTCATTAATATAGTTAAATACTATGAGGTACTTATTTCATACTATTTCCATTTGGATTATTTAATAGCTTCCTTTCTTTTTTTTTTCCTTTTGTCTTTATCTTCTTTTTTTTTTTCTTTTCTTTCATTTTCTAAAAATCTCCATGCCTCCTCTTTCTTCCTTTTTCTTTCAATCTACAGGCTCCCCCCAAAACAGCCACATTTCTATTGAATAACAATACTATAACAAAAGCAATGATATATTCTTATTTGTTAGGCAGTGGCGGTTTAAACCCTATGTTGATTCATTGTTGTATGCTGGGGAGAAACGCAGAGATATGGGCAGCACAGGGCTAAATGGTTTGCACTTCCACCTGGCAGTACTAGGGTCGTCGGTTCAAATCCCAACCACGGCACCACCTGCCTGGAATTTGCATGTTCTCCCTGTGCCTGCATGGGTTTCCTCTGGATACTCTGGTTTCCTCCCACACTCCAAAGACATGCTGGTAGGCTAATTGGATCCCGTCTAAATTGGCCCTAGTATGTATATGTATGAATGTAAGTTAGGGAACTTAGATTGGACACCCCTTGAGGGTTAGAAACTGATGTGAATGTACAATATACAGTCAGGTCCATAAATATTGGGACATGGACACAATTCTAACATTTTTGGCTCTATACACCACCACAATGGATTTGAAATGAAACAAACAAGATGTGCTTTAACTGCAGACTGTCAGCTTTAATTTGATCTTATTTACATCCAAATCAGGTGAACGGTGTAGGAATTACAACAGTTTGCATATGTGCCTCCCACTTGTTAAGGGACCAAAAGTAATGGGACAATTGGCTTCTCAGCTGTTCCATGGCCAGGTGTGTGTTATTCCCTCATTATCCCAATTACAACGAGCAGATAAAAGGTCCAGAGTTCATTTCAAGTGTGCTATTTGCATTTGGAATCTGTTGCTGTCAACTCTCAAGATGAGATCCAAAGAGCTGTCACTATCAGTGAAGCAAGCCATCATTTGGCTGAAAAAACACAACAATCCCATCAGAAAGATAGCAAAAACATTAGGCGTGGCCAAAACAACTGTTTGGAACATTCTTAAAAAGAAGGAACGCACCGGTGAGCTCAGCAACACCAAAAGACCCGGAAGACCACGAAAAACAACTGTGGTGGATGACCAAAGAATTCTTTCCCTGGTAAAGAAAACACCCTTCACAACAGTTGGCCAGATCAAGAACACTCTCCAGGAGGTAGGTGTATGTGTGTCAAAGTCATCAATCAAGAGAAGACTTCACCAGAGTGAATACAGAGGGTTCACCACAAGATGGAAACCATTGGTGAGCCTCAAAAACAGGAAGGCCAGATTAGAGTTTGCCAAACGACATCTAAAAAAGCCTTCACAGTTCTGGAACAACATCCTATGGACAGATGTGACCAAGATCAACTTGTACCAGAGTGATGGGAAGAGAAGAGTATGGAGAAGGAAAGGAACTGCTCATGATCCTAAGCATACCACCTCATCAGTGAAGCATGGTGGTGGTAGTGTCATGGCGTGGGCATGTATGGCTGCCAATGGAACTGCTTCTCTTGTATTTATTGATGATGTGACTGCTGACAAAAGCAGCAGGATGAATTCTGAAGTGTTTCGGGCAATATTATCTGCTCATATTCAGCCAAATGCTTCACAACTCATTGGACGCCGCTTCACAGTGCAGATGGACAATGACCCAAAGCAGACTGCAAATGCAACCAAAGAGTTTTTGAAGGGAAAGAAGTGGAATGTTATGCAATGGCCAAGTCAATCACCTGACCTGAATCCGATTGAGCATGCATTTCACTTGCTGAAGACAAAACTGAAGGGAAAATGCCCCAAGAACAAGCAGGAACTGAAGACAGTTGCAGTAGAGGCCTGGCAGAGCATCACCAGGGATGAAACCCAGTGTCTGGTGATGTCTATGCGTTCCAGACTTCAGGCTGTAATTGACTGCAAAGGATTTGCAACCAAGTATTACAAAGTGAAAGTTTGATTTATGATTATTATTATGTCCCATTACTTTTGGTCCCTTAACAAGTGGGAGGCACATATGCAAACTGTTGTAATTCCTACACCGTTCACCTGATTTGGATGTAAATACCCTCAAATTAAAGCGGACAGTCTGCAGTTAAAGCGCATCTTGTTTGTTTCATTTCAAATCCATTGTGGTGGTGTATAGAGCCAAATATGTTACAATTGTGTCCATGTCCCAATATTTATGGACCTGACTGTATATGTAAAGCACTGTGTAAATTGATGGTGCTATATAAGTACCTGACATAAATAAATAATAATAGATAACTGGATAGTATTCTGATAGCTTGCCTGAACACAGTGTCACACTCCACTACCTGGCTTACCTTTTCCTTTCTCTTTGTAGGTTTATTGTGATGTGGAACCCAAGCGTCGAGCACTGTCCCAAGCCAATGATGATCTTAAAGTAGCTACTGAGAAACTTGAAGCAATTAGGAAAAAGCTTCATGTAAGTATATAATGAAATATATACTGGTGATCCTTTACAGTACTTGCTAACATCAGTATTACAAAATGACCTCCACATTTCATTCTGGAGCCTGGTTCTCTAACAAAAAATTTGCAGAGAAGATTTCCTCAAATCCTTATTTACTTGTTCACATAATTGGCTCACTGCTCCTCCCATGGGTCTACAGAGAGTTTGATATTACAGTACAGGCACTGTGTTGCCTCAAATTTGGTAACTTTAGAATTGATAGGTTTTAACACACATAATTGTATCCCTGTTTTATAGATTAAACAGCTAAACAGATACTAGGGGTACAGTTTTTATATTAAACTGATTTGGTGAATATGAAGAACCTTCAGCTTAGCAGTTATTTGAAAACATTCATTGGAATGAGCTATCTCTCTTT